TTGCTGTATTGGGGAATATTAGACCAATTAGCATTCTTACGAGTCTATACAAAATTGTGGCTAAGGTCTTGGCTGAGCGACTAAAGGAGGTTTACTTGTTATTATTTCTGGCTTGCACTCGGCTTTTATTAAGGACAGAATGATCTCTGATAGTCTTCTGATTACACAGAAGTGCATTCACTCTCAGATCCTTGATGAGAATCCGGGGGTGGTTATTAAATTGGATATGGAGAAGGCTTATGATAAGGTAGAATGACATATTTTGTTAGAAATTATGAAAAATATGGGTTTCAGTGAAAAGTGGCAGCAGTGGTTTTGGGTTGTTTGTGTTCAGCTCACTTTTCAATTCTTTATAAAGGGAACTCGATGGAATTTTTTAAGGCCACCAGGGGACTACATCAAGGGGATCCTCTTTCCCTTTTCCTTTCATTTTATATTCGGAATGCTTCAGTTTGATGCTTACCAATGTCATGAGGAATGGTCACTTTGCAGGCTTTCAAATGCCCAATGGGGGACCATGTGTTTCACACTTGCTATATGCTGATGATACCCTTTTTTTTTGTGAAGCACAACATACGCAAGTTGCAAATATTGCTATTTTTTTTGAAGTACTGTGAAGTTGCATTGCGTTTAAAGGTTAATTTTGGGAAAACAGGTATGGTGGGTGTGATTTGCCTTGATGCAGAGGTTTCCTCTTTTGTACAGTTGTTTGATTGTAAGATTGAATTTTTCCCTATTACCTACTTGGTTATGCCAATTTCAGATGGTCGTCTCCCTGTTGCAGTTTGGGATAAAATTTTGCAGCGTATCCAAGTTAAGCTAAATTTGTGGAAATTTAAGTATTTATCTTTTGGGGGGAGGATTGCGCTCATTAAGGCATGCCTATCAAACTTACCTATTTATCAGATGTCTATTATACAAATTCCTGCTTCGATAGCAAAGAAAATAGAGACTATGATGAGAAACTTTATGTGGGGGTCCTCTGTGGAGAAGAAGAAGTTCCATCTCCTTCGCTGGGATAAAGTGTGTACGCCTAAAAAGGAAGGGGAGCTTGGGATTAGGAAAATCAAACTGGTTAATTAAGATTTGCTCTGTAAATGGTGGTGGAGATGTCTTACTCTTAAAGACCACCTTTGGTACGAAGTGATGCTTCAAAGTATGGAATGGATTGGTTTGGTATGTGGGTGGGGAATAGGAATGGAGTAAGGGACATGTCAGTCAGCTAGAGGGTTATCCATTTATGTAAAGGCTTTATACATCGTGATATTCGTTGGTGTGTGGGTAATGACTGCAATATCTCCTTTTGGCATCATAAATGGTTGGGGGACTGCCTATTGAAATTAAGTTTTTCTTTGATTTATCATTTGATGACTAATCAAGAAGCCACTATTGCCGAGCTTTTAGTTCGTAGGGGTAGTAATGTTGAGTGGAATATTACTCTGCCTTATAGTAGGGTTTCTGATTTGGTTTTCTCTCAGTTTGCTGATCTTCATAGACTATTGAAAGATGTTTATATCCCGCATAATGCTTCTAATGAGGTAGTTTGGGAGATTGACAAAAATGGGATTAGTTTAGTTAAATATATGTATGATTTACTCTACCATGATAGGGTGCGATGGTCTATGCCTGAAATAGCTATCTTGTGGAAATGACCCTACCTCTCAAAGTGCAAGGTTTTCTTTGGTTGGCGGTTCAAAACAGAGTTCTCACGGTTGATAATCTGATTAAGAGAGGGAAAATTTTACTGAATATATGTCTCATATGCAAGGAAGACGGAGAGGCTGGTGATCATCTCTTTCTCCATTGTCCATTTGCTAGTCGTATTTGGAGGTGGTTTTTTGACCAGCTTGGGGCTGCATTGGTAATGCCACTGTCGGTGATTGGGGTTCTTCATAATCTTTCAGTTACTTTACCAAGGGTTGAGAGTGTTGTATGGCAAATCTCTAGAGGTGTCAATCTATGGGAGTTCTGGAGAGAGAGAAATAGAAGAATGTTTGAAGGTATCTCTTTGCCAGTTGGAAAAGTTTTGGAGAAAATCTTGCATTCCATCTGGTTGTACCTCTCATTTACGAGTTGTGGACATAATATTTTTGTAGTGGATTTGAGATGTAATCTTTTTAACCTTTTCCATTTGGGTTTCCAAAAGTGTAGGCCCAAAGGCAGATGGATGGTACCACCTTTGGGGGCTGATAAGCTCAACTTTGATAGTAGCTCATTGGGTAACCCCGGTCTTGCTGGTTTTGGAGGGGTTCTTCAGAGATAGGATGGGTAATGTGATCTTCTCATATGCAAGGCCAATTGGGGTCCGGACTGCAAATTATGCAGAGATCTTTGCCCTTCTCTTTAGCCTTCGTTCCCATGTGGATGGGAATTTGGGGGCTTCTTATATTATTCAAGGGGATTCCCTCAATGTTGTGAAATGGTGCAAAGGGGATCAGAAACATCCTTGGGAGTTAAAATCTTTGTTATTTCAGATTTTGGATCTCGCCTCCTCCTTTTCTATCTCTTTTGTTCATGTGTATAGGAGGCTAAGGTGCTAGCTGATTCCCTAGGCAAGGAGGTTCTACCCTCTCTGAAGCCGTTATTTTGGATTCTATAATATCGTTCTACATTAACAATATCTTTGAACTTTCTCTCAAAAAAACACATTCCACTTCCCAGCATAAAAAACTTCCAGTTTCCAGAGAACGTTTATCTTCCAGCAAGCAAACAAGCCCTAAGTGCTTTGAAAACCCAAAGAAATCTCACTTATCTTTTGGCTATTAGCTCTTGAATCTCTCATCTCTCCTCTCTCTTGCTTTTAAAAGGGGACGGTTTGTGGTGGGTCCCATTTAATGTGGTTCTTTTCAAAATTCTTTCTTAAAGATGACGTCAAATCTAAAATTTCATAGGTTGATAACCTGTAGACCATAGAAAAAAAAATGGAAAAAGATTTTGAAGGCCCTATTTTTGGAGTCGCAAAATCATGCATCTAATGCCCAAATATATATGAAATTTTTGAAAGTGGTCGCTTTGAAGGGGCAACATTTAATTAAACCTTAAGAATATCTTCAAAACTTATGAAAAAAGTATGGGGTTTTATTTAAGGGTGGGGCAGGCAATGGGCCGGGCGGCCCGACCTTGCCTGATCGGCCTAACCTTGAAAAAGTAACGCCTAGGCTGCAAACTAAGGCTTGAGAGCCAGGCAAGGGCTAATGCTAGCCCGACCCTCTTTTATTATTATTATTATTATTTATTTATTATTTTTCTTCTATTTTTGCTTCATTTGTTTTTGGCCTGGCTCGTTTCCACCCTTATTTTCATATAAAAATCTATTTTCATCCCTAATCATGAATGTTAAAGCTCCAAAAATGGTGTAGATCAAGTGGATCTACAAACACTCAAAAATTTGTAAAACAATGGACGGTGTAGGTATTATGCTACATGATGCCCAATATCTAAGACTTAAAATCTTTTTCTTAATATTCATATGTCGTGAGGTTGAGATCATCAATTGTGGGGTTCTTCCACATCAAAATAATATTTCAGGTGGATCTTTGAGGTGCATCGGTAGATCTTTGAGGTGCACCTTACTTCTGAAGATCAACCTTTTTGGTGGATTTTTGACCTGCACCTTACTTTCAAAATAAAGGTGGACATCTTATATAAACTTTTTCCTTTACAAGTTACACCATTTTAATCGTGAAATTTAGTTTTCTCTTTACATATAGTTGTGATGATCAATTGGAAGGTTTTTCAACTTTAGAACCCTCTTTTCTATTGGATTTTTGAGATACACCTTAGTTTTATAGTATCAGGTTGCAACTTTTTGCAAATTTTTAAGGTGCCTACCTCATAGGAAAAATTATAAAAAACACCCTAAAATGGACTATCTATACAACTTACCCCCACCCCAATTTTTTATCTCACTTTGGTCCCCAAAACAACCTTTCCTCGTAACAATCCCCCAAGGTAAAAAAGTTGTTATTTTTTGGACGGAAATGCCCTTTCCGTACAAACCAAATCAATTTGTGGGTCTCAAGTAGCATACTGTTGGAGCGAGTCTTTGCACTGCCGGAGCACGTTCTCATGATGCTGGAGCATTGTGGCTCAGACCTGTATTGCCGGAGCACACATTTAGAATGCCAGAGCGCAGCCCTCTATTGTCAAAGCACTGTGGCTCCAGAGACTTCAATGCCAGAGCGAAATGCCAGAGCGCGTCTTTGCACTACCAGAGCGAGTTCTTATAATGCCAGAGCGCTGCGGCTCATACCTACATTGCCAGAGCGCAGATTTAGAATGCCGGAGCGTGTGTTTGTATTACTGAAGCGTGTGTGAAAACAGGAGAGGGAAGGCCGTGTGAAAACAAACAAGGGTAGTTTAGTCTTATTTCATGCTACTTTTGGGTTGGGGGATTATTTGCAAGGAAAGCAGGTTTGGGGAAAAAAAGTGAGAGAAATGATTGGGATGGGTAAGTTGTATTGATAGTCCATTTTACGGTGTTTTTTGTAATTTTTCCTACTATATAAGTAAGATGTACCTCAAAATTTACTCAAGAATTGTGGTTCTCTAATGTCGGTTGAAAATCTATATTCAACTCCAACTTTGAAATTTAAAACTTCTAGAGATAGAGCAAATCTATATACACTTAATACCTCGACAGAGGTAGAGATGTAATTAGGAGTCCATAGTGCATAAAACACTTTTCCATCTAATTATGTGAAATCAATCAAATATGGATCTAATTCCTATGCGGCCAGATGTGCATATGTAAAAATGCGGGGCTCTTGCTAAATTTATTTTTGAGATGGATTTTAAGACTTAATTTTAAAGACACGTAATCTCTAGCATGAAGATCATGAATATGAATAAATAAATAAATTTTAAAAACTAAAAATAATAATTCTAATAAGAAAACATTTGGACCGTTATATTCCATTGTTTTTTATACGGAACACGTACTTGCATCCATCTTTAAGATGGATGCTTTACCCTTTCTGGACCGCATATGTAGAAATGCGGTCCAGCTCCGCATGAATAATTTCCCACCAAATGCAGATCAGGAACCATTTCCCGCCCCTCCATCAAAACATTAGAGCTCCTCATCTTCAGGTATATCTCCATTTCCCTGCCACTCTTTCAAATCTCCTATTTCCTCTTGTTCCAGTTTCTTCCCATCTCATTCCATTTTGATATTTATTTCTTGACTTATCCGTAAATTACTTCTCAGATTGTTTATAACTATTACTAACTTTATTTCAGTTTTTGAACCCTAGATTTTGCAGCATGGCTGGTCAGTCTGATCCTCACGTCTCTCTTTTCTCTCCAGCAGAGGCGGGTGATTCTAACCTACATTTCATTCCTCTTTCTTTTAATTCCAGTTTTTTAACATTCATTATTACTTAACATTATCTGGTTGAGCTACCATTCCTAGAGGTTTGTATTCTTAATTTATTGTTTCATTTTTTATTTTTAATATTTTACCGATGTGATCATGTCTATGTTTAGCTAATTGTTTTTTTTGGATGGGATGAAAACTGCACAGATTGAGTTTTTTGCGGAAGACGAGATGGTAGACATTGTTCCAAATTTGAGAGTGGAAGCCCTAAACATGATTTGTGTAATGTTACTTAAATTCTTCTCCATTGTGATATTTTTTGTTAGCAGCAATTCTTACAGAATGCTATTAGAGATGATTTAGGGCATGACATCTAAGACCAATTTACCGTCTGATTGAGTATATCTGTGCTGAATTGTCAAAAAAAAGAAAAGAAAAACAAATGTTTCATTTGTGCTGATGTATGTATGTGCGCCAAGGCATATGCATGCAGCACGCATGCATATATTTTGTGGATGTATACATACCTGCATTGACACATGTATTAATGTATGGATAAATAAGTATAGATACACCTATTTCTTTGAAATTGTATATGTATTTGATATGCATACCTTCTTTTGTTTTTTTGAATGTTCTATGATGAATTTTTATTTGTTTATGCTTTTGTTCTAAGCATGCATGTCAGGATACTTGATGGAAATATGGTTGATAAAAGAATCCAAACTCATTTTAGTTTTCATTATCAGGGTGACTATGGTCCTTTTACTCCACAAATTCCTGCAAAAGTGCCACTTTGGCTGGCAGTAGCTCTAAAGAAGCGTGGAAAGTGTGCAATTCGACCCCCAGAGTGGATGTCTGTTGGTATTTTTTTTTCTCTTTTCTTTTGTGACTTTGTACTTGTTAAGTATATTTTAAATAACGAAATTTGTGAACATTAAACTCTTGAATGCTTGTGCATTGTTGAACAACATTTCATTTTTAAATTGTCCAAAGAAAGGCTTTTGTTTCTTAACATTGATTTATTTGTATCTGTTTGTCATTTGTGATTGAAGGCAACTTAGGAGAGTGCCTAAGGGAAACCTCAGTTGTCATCCAGTTTTTGTAACTTTTTTAGTGTATATGCATTTTACAAAATGGTTTTATGATTCTTATATATTCTAGAAAAATGTTGTTATTTGTGTTTCTCTCTCCCATTGTTCATCTACCCAAGAATATCCCAAGCACATAGAGACTAGGGTGAGAATTGCCTTAGTTTTGGCTCTTTAGAGATAAGTCCCTTGTTTGTTTAGGAACCTCAGGTCTTAACTCATCTTTTCACATATGTTACATCCTCACTAATCGAGGCTGATGATTACGATTCTACTAGTGAAATGCACAATGTTTTATTCATATGACTAATTGACATAGCAACTTTTTACTTAGAGAGGAAAATTTACCCTTGTAGTTCTTCATAGACAACATCTACCACTTCTTTGCATGTTGGAGAGTAAATGCCTACACCTGTAAGCTTGCAAACATGATTGCTTTGTTTGTTGTGTTATCTTTCCAGTATGAGAGAGTATACAAAGAGTCTTCACCATCCCTTCTTTAATTTCTTTCTGTATATATTGACAATCAACTTTTATATGCTCATTTTTCTTGTGAAAGACATTACTTTAAATGTGAAACCTGGTCACAATGGCATGAGCAAACCCCAATACATTTCCTTAGGGGAGTTGCTAATATTTTGCTTTAATACAGTATCCGGAAATTCTCTTACAATAGACCAAATTTCCCTAGATGCTACTTAATAGCTTGGAGTAGAGTTTCTGGAATCTTGTCAGCTTGCCAATCTCAATTTACATACTTATATAGTTATGGTGAAGCTGAAGATGAGGGAATAATTCCCTGAGTGACATGGTTGAGGTGTCTTGAACCTCTCTAAAACACTTCTAAATAAACCTTTGGCTAATAATATATCTGCTCAATTATCTAATACTAGGTGCACTCCTGATATTGAATTATGTCCTTTAAAGGGTCTCTGCTGAATTTTCTTTTTAGATTTAATTCCTGAGACTTATCTGTCATCTTCAATAGTTTTTTGAAAAATATCAACACTTCCATTCATTGAAATTGTTAAGTTTTATCATCTGATCAAATGATTGATTGATTTCATTTCATGATTTCTCAGTTGTTGAGTTCTCTTGATCATCCGATCAAATGATTGATTGATGCCGTTTCATGATCTCTCAGTGCTATTTGTATCATCTTTTGTTGTTGTTATGCCATCCATAGAAGCAAAAAGTATGGTAGGTCTTCCATCCTAGTGCCTTCCTTGCCTCTAAAGGAGAAAAGTATAGTAGGTCTTGATAAACAATGAATGATCCTCACTGCTCTTTGGAAATATGAGCTTGAGGAATATAGGCTAAAGTTCTCAAACCATATTCTTGGAGCCAATGAAGGACATGAGATGCCCATCTTATTTTTACAAACCTTGAAGTTGCTTGAGTGTATTCTAGAGGAACTTCCATGTATATTTCAGCTGATGGTCTAACTCTCCAAATTTGCAAGAGCATGTCTCAATCAGAATTCTCCCTTCACATATTCCATGTTTTCCATTTCTGTAGTTTGCACTTCCTCCTTTTGTTTGATAGGTTACACATGTGTGGTGTCCCTCCAATACTTTAGTCCTCTCTTTCAACTTGTTGATGCTTGCTACCTTTTTAAATTCACCGATGACCATGCATTCCACTTCGATACTTTTTGCATTCAATAGTATCATGTTCCTGATCAAGAAAACCCCAGAAATGCCAAATTGGCTAATATGGTATTGGATCTACCACCCAAACAAGATTATTGTACTGATTTGGATGGAGATCGTTGTAATGTCTATTGTCTCATGGTCTGAAGCTTTCCATATTCTCTTGGTTGGATAGTTAGTTCCTATTATTGCTAGTTTGCATGTGCGATTGTGTGCATGCGCATGTGTGTGTGTGTGTGCGTGCATGTGGCTTCTGTTTTACTTGGTGAGGTTGGCTACACTCTTTAATCTTCTATTGAGATTTCTTTGTACTTCATCCGGAATCGCACCATTTTTTATATATTGCGCTCATAACCAAGGACTATTTCTAGATATATAAAAAAACGACTACGCATGTGACCATTATTAGGGTTGTTACTTTCTTTTTAAAGGTTAGCATTACCCTGGCATTGAAGGTAATGTACATGACTCCATAGTTACCGGGATCTTCTAAGGAGGGGGTCGCTTCCGCTCCAGAAGCTCGATCCCACGCTCCGGGATATGGGATCTTGATTCCGGGCGCTTCCTGATATTTGGGATCTCGATTCGAGAAATCGAGGAACACGATCCCATCTAATGGGATTCTGATCTCTATGCCAGAGATCATGGTTCCATGAGTAAGCGGAACCATGATTCAACCAACTTGGAATCGAGTATCATTTAACTTGGGACCGAGTTTGACCGATACATTTTTTTGGTTCATAGACAATTGAGTGTGGACCTCCAAATTTTTATTACCTACAATCTTTCCGAACTCCATTATTTCCTACATAGTTTACAAGGACAAGGAGAGAAGCAAGAATACAGAAGGATATACAAAAGTTAGTTGCGTTATGGTTCAATTGAAGAATGTCAATATGCTCAACTTCCTTGGAGCTAGTTCACTAGGTCTTGTCTACCTCTTGAAGGACTTCTATTGCTTGAGTGTTTGTCAACCAAATCGAGCCACTCATGAGATTGCCTTATGGGTGATGGAATAACATGTGTGTGTGGAAATTGAGGTCTCTCTTATATATGTCTTTGAACCCCTAGCAATCTTTGATAGAGGAGAGCTAATGGGAGTTATATATGGCAATGTCTTTCCTTTTTCTTATTTTGCCAAGGAGAACTTAACTATTGCGGCATTTCTTTTTTGGAAGCAATCTATCACAATTATTTGATATTTGAGTGGGAGTTGCCCAATCCAATTGATTGGTGCCAAAAATGAGGACATATGCGTTGTGGGCAGACCAATATAAGGTAGGTGTGCAATTTTACTAATGGATCCACATGTTGTAGGCAGACCAATGTAGGTAGGTGTGCTGTTTTTATCACCCTCCATTCCCATTGTTAACATGGGATCGAGGACATAGGTATAACCTCACCATATTGGATTTCTATTATCGCTATGTGTTAGATCATTTTATTCACATTGATACTAGGTTTGTGAATTTGAAAAATGTTAAAAATATTGTTCACTGGTATTCACTCCCAAGTTACAAAACAGTTGACAAGTGAACTTCGAGAACCTCGATCCTTATCATGGAGGAAAGCGATCCCATTTAGTAAAGAATTTACTCCAGTGAAGATATGGAACACGCTCCCTGAAAGTCAGGGATCTCGATCCCTTTATTGGACCATCTACGGACCTCGTTCATCAAACCACGGATCTTTGAATCTACCTCGCTCCGCGCTCTTGCTCCCGCTCCTGCTCCCGATCCTGGAGCTCTTGCCACTCCCGTTCCCGGTACCTATGCACGACTCTGATATCATGTCATGAGAAAATCATCATCATAGCCTTTTCGCAAGTAATTGAGGTTGGTACACGAATCCTGGTCTGCCTATCAGGATTCATGGATAGTTATGGCAAAGTTTTACATTGGCTGCCTACTTGATACAACCCACCTCTTTTACCCGGGCTTGGGATGGGTTAAGGGAAAGTTTAAGTTCCTCACCCTTCTTAGACTTGCTATTCCTTGATCATTCAGGTTTTACTGGTAAACTTATCTTTTGAATTGACTGTCAAGGCCATTTATTTACTCTTTGGACACCCGTCTACTTCAGATATCCGATAGACAATTTTATATGTACTTTGTAGATGGCTTGTATGCCTTCCTCCATTGGAACTTAGGTCTGAGTTTTGCTTTTCTAGTTTTGTACCCTTATCAGAACCTCTTTTTAATGACTTATGCAGAATCTCCTGGGAAATTTAGGTTTTTCTTGCCAAATTGTGTTTATGTTTCTAGGTTTCCTTGTATCCTCATTTCATGTTAATGACATAATGTGTTATTTTTGTCTTTCTTCATGTCGTTCTAGTAATTTGATTGCAGTAAAATATGGTGTTTTCTTATGCCACATTAAATGTGATAATTACTTGAAATTTGACTTTGATTACTTAGTCGTATGAGGGGTTTCGTTTGTTTGATATTTTGTCAATGCTTTCACTAGAAAGATTGACGCAGGTTCTTGAAGCGGAGAGGGATTCTTCAAGAGAATTTCAGCCATTACCTTTCCACTATGTCGAAATAACGAAGCTTCTGTTTCATTTGTATGTGAGGATATCCATATTCTTTTCCCACCTTCACTTTTGAATCTCACAACATTATAACTGATATAAGGTTACTAATTGGTTACAGTGCTCAAGATGATATCCCAGATATGTACCTGGTGAGTTTGGAAATTTTGAAGAGGAGTGATTCTCTTCTCCCAATGCTGTTTTTCCTCGATCCTTTCTCAATATGGCTAGTTTCCAGGTGAAATCAATGGTAGAGGACATCAGGGATGTAAGGTTTCACAAAGTCGAACTTGGTTTGGAAACATTTACCAATCGTACACAAGCAGTAAAGGTACTTTTATCTCCCTCATTCTGGATTTTGTGTCGGTCATTTGAATTTCTTTGTTCTTTGAATGGAAAACACTTAGGGGCCATTTGGGTGGGAGGAAATTGAGTAATCTTAAATTTTCAAACTCCTAGGTTTGATGAGTTCTAAACATTGAAAACGTAGCAATCTTGGATTTTGAAAATGGAGGGGTAGGATTGCTCCTTCCCAAATGGGGCCTTAAGTTCTCTGTCTCATGGCACATTCCATGGATTTTATAGAATTCGTTCAGAACATTGTTCATATAGCTGTAAGTTTGTATATTCTATAGGGATGATATCAATGCAATACTTGTAACACCTGCATAAATTGCAGGTGCTCCAGAAACTTTGGTCCCAAATGAATGTTTGGATAATCCTCCTTTTTCTAATTGACTATTTTGCCCCAGTTTGCTACTTAAAATAATATATTAGACAAATAGAAGTAAATATATTGAATAGACCTGGAAAAAAATTAAAATATCTTTCCAAAAAGAAAAAAAAAAGAAATGCATCAGGCTGTTGTGAAATTCAAAGTATCTCTCTTTCCTGCTCCATTTATGCAAGTTTTCTAGGATCTAGTTTGTTACCTTCCGTAATTAATATTATTGAGGGTCATGGTACACTGATAATTATGTAGAGCTTCCAATCAGGGGGTCTTTTCATTGCTAATTGCTGCTTCTGCTCTGTGATCCATAATTATCACTCATGCCCAGCCAATTGGAGCACAAACCAATTCTTATTTTCCCTTATAAATTATCTCCAAAGTTACATAGAGTGAATATGCCTTAATTCGTTGTTCTGCTTTATGTATTTTGTAGCTGAAAAATTTATCAGCAATGGAAGCCAACATCATACGCCCATTCTCAGTGAGAGCATTACAAGCATTCTACAAGCACGATATTCCAGATGTGGCATCACAAACAGCAGCGACAGTCAACAGACCTTCGATGGCTGATAGGGGTCCAAGGGTAAGACTGTGGCTTCCATCCTATTTACTATTTGATAATCACTAGTTGCGCTCATGTTTGTGCTCTCTGCACCAATGTTTTTGCTGTCCCCACTCAAAACGGTGGTGGGATTATTGGCTGACTAGAAATCTCATCCTTGCACATAGGTGCCGATAGCAAAATTATGGGCGCAAATACCACCTTTGTTCCAAGTAGCAGTATATCTATAGTTTTTGGATTCTTGATATATTATCTTAAGGTCTTGAAAACTTTCATTATAAATATATATTGGAAGATTTTTGAGACACGCATCAGGGAGTCAGTTTGGCCAATCGTGCTTTTACTAATGCACCCAATACTTTTTATTCTCTCACCTAACACATGGTTTGCAATATCAACCTCCATATTCTTCTATATTTGTTATCCCACTCTTTTGGGTGGATTGCTAAAAGTATGGTGGTTAGACTAGCCCCTGTACATTTATAGGTTTAAAGGTTGAATGTTATGAGTCTGATTCTGGGGTTCTGCATTATGGCAGCACTACAAACTTCATAGACTTATTATGGCATTCTATTTGTCATACAGCGTACCCTCCGGCCCCGCTAGATGCATGTAACTGTTGTGCTGGTGCTCTTTTCCTTGTTTTATCAGGTGTAAGTCCCCTGTCTCTCCTGTTCTCTCAGCTCCCCCCTTCTCTCTCTCTCATATCACCTGACATAATTGCTTAATTGTTGCTAATCAATGAATGCCACCTTTTTGTTATGGATATTGATGTGTTTATCTCTTACATCATCATCATCATCATCACAACCACACACTCTCTCTCTCGCGCATATATTATGAGCTTAAACGTGTGAGATTATGATAAGCTTATGCTTCTAGGCAGTGGCCATTTGGGATAATAAATTGGGGCATTATTGTCTGAATTATAAAGAGCATGGAAATGGTCATTTGCTTCATGTTATTTTTTGGGGTTTGCTTGGCGCTTGTGATCTATCGGGAATCTGGGATGGTTCCTATGACATCAAAAGTAGGTCTCCTTGCATCATTTCAAAAGTTGAATACAGAAAATTATGTCTTCTTAAGCAGTTAGAAGCCCAATCTAGAACTTTAAATTTGTCCTTGTGATTTCCAAATAATTATATTGTTACAAAATCTTTGATTTTCTACGTTCGAAATTGAATTCCAGTTTTTGTGAGAAGTCATTTGGATGCTATTGAAAGTTCTGCTAATCAGAAGTCAAGCACCAGCATAGACTGGTCCAAGCAAGTAATATCAGAAGTGAAAGAGAGAGTGAATGACTTCGGCATCTGGTGACAGCTAGCCAGGAATACCAGAACTGTGTGAGAGGGAGAGAGACGAGAGGGAGAGAGAGGGGCAATAGTTGGTGATGTAGAAATAACTTTTCCAGATTTTCCTTTTGACATAGGAATGGGCTCAGGGCTAAGTGGTCAGGATGGCCAGGTGTGACAACATTTGAGTTCCATTTCTACCTCTAGGGGCCCCGATCTCTACTGAACTATCCAAAAAAAAGAAAAAAGAAAAAAGAAAAAAGAAAAGAAGTTTCCCTTTCAACAGGAAAAGAAGCTAAGCATGAGAAGATGGGCATCATTACATATTTTTGGTAAAACAATTTAAGGTGTCAGTATGCTTAAACACCCAATCATCCACGATCTCGGCCATGCCATCTAGCTTCAACATATAGATCACAGGGTTTGAATTATGTGATGATTTTCTAGACTCTGATTTTTTTTTTGTTTCCTTTCAAGTCCAGAGGTCCAACCGTTATTTTTCCTTGTTGAAGTTCGAATTTCCATATTAATCACTTCTCATAATAACTCCCTTAAGAGACCTAACATCATCATTCCTAGCCGACCACCTAGAAATTTCTCATTTGTTGTTTTGGGACTTCGAAATTTGAAATTTTTATTTTTTAGTTTGGAACTCTCTGGACATCTTCAAATTACAAATTGCTGTAAAAATTTCTCAAAAGACTTTCACTGCAACCTTTCAGTTATTTCTGCCTTTTTTTTAGGTATTACTGCCTTTGTGAGGGTCACTAATGAGGAAAATAAAGACCTGGGAGGGACATTGATGAGGAAAAATATATAAATACTTGGGAGGGCAATTAGTGACGAAAATATTCACCGTAGACAGTAGCAAGTTGGATATAATATGTAAAATTACGTGGGAGGGCCTCATGTGAAAAAAGAATACACGGTAAGCAGTAACAAGTGGTATAGAAAAGCATTGGAACATGTGAAGGATTCCTAGGCCTTGTTTGATAATTATTTTTTCCTCTTCACCAAGAATTCTTGATATTTATGAAACATCAGGGCAAGTTGGTGCAATCACTTTCCCAATTACTTTCCCCATTTTGATAACTGCTGGAAAATTGGTTCTTAGTTTCCCTTGTTTGATAACTAACATTGGTGCAATCAGTTTTATATGTGGAAACAATTGGGAAACTGTGTTTTAAATGTCAATTATGTAATTTATAGTAGGGTGCGGTTTGTATAGAGCCTAGGCTCTAAACAATCAAATTAGAGCCTACCTTCAAATAGTATCGAGAAATGTAATTTTAATATTAGAAATCTTTGCAGTAGCCTTAAAATATATTTTCATATTTATTTATAAAGTTTAAAGCTTCAAAAATGGTATAGATCTATAGATCTATGAAAACTTGAAAATCTTGAAAATTGACGGTCCAAAAACATGTTACAAAATACACTATTTTCAAAACTTGAAATCCATTATTTTCTCACGTCCATGCATATTGATGTCGAGCTGATCGATTTGAAGATATTTAGGCATCGAAACAACCTCTTCTAGTGAAATTTTTAAGGTAGACTCAAATTTGATTGTTTAGAGCCTCAGCTTTATATAAACTTTTCCCTTGATAGTATGATGTTAAAAATTACTGTAAATCACATGGCTTTACAAAATTATCAATTTATTATAAATTGCTCTTAAAATATTGTCCGATTCCATTTACATTCAGTACTCTAGAAAGCTATTAAAATAAGGAAAACATTTATATAGAGTCGAGGTTCTAAATGATCAAATTAAAGCCCACCTCAAAAGTTTTGCTAAAAGAGGTTGTTTTGATGCCCAAATATCCTCAAATTGATCATCTTGACATCAAGATGCATGGACATGAGAAAAAAATGGATTTCAAGTTTTGGAAATAGTGCATCTTGCAACGCATTTTTGGACCATCAATTTTTAAGATTTTCAAGCTTTTAATAGATCTGCTCGATCTACATTATTTTTGAAGCTTTAAATTTTATAGTTAAATATGAAAATATATTTTAAGGCTATCACAAAGATTTCCAGAATTGAAATCATGTTTCTCAACACTACTTAAAAATAGGCTTTACTTTTGATTATTCAGAGCCTTGGCTCTATACAAACTGCAACCAATAAATAATTATTCATATACTATAATTTAATCATAAACATTGTTGATCTTTACATGCGTGATCAATGTACCAAACGTTTTAAAAAAATTAGCGATTCTGTGAATTGCTCAAGGGGAAAAAAAAAAAAAAAGTTCGATTCCTCAAATATTTATACAGTATTTTTTTTAATTTTTTTTTTTTATGTTTGAGAATGGGGATCATTGAGAAATTTTGGGTTATGATTGATAATGGAGATAACAACTACTTCCATGTCTCTGGAAGTTTAGGGACGAGGGAGTCTTTAAGTAAAATTTTGATGTATTGAATCCGTGTATCACTCATTTTATGCATTAAAATGAGATAGTGAGTAAAAAAATTGATTATAGAGTATTCAGTTTGTTCGTTTTCTTTTAATTAGTAAAACCCACAAGATTTTATTGAAAATTTCAGGGTGAATGCCTTAGATTTTCTCTATAATTCCCAATAAACCATTGATTTAACAGTCTTCATAAACCTCTGATTTCACGGTTAAAAATAAATATCATACAAAGTTAAATATTTGATATTGTTTTGTCCCTTCTCCTTTTAATCTATAAAAACTGGGTTGGAATCGGCCAGTTCGGATAAGGAATTGGCTAGGCCGATCCAATCTTGCCCAAGTATCGGGAACCTACCCATTTTTGCCAAAGAATTAGGTCCCACATGTATTTTTTTAATTTTTTAATTTTTTAATTTTTTAATTTTTAAATTTTTAAATTTTTAAATTTTTAAATTTTTTTAATTGTTTATCTAAAAAAGCAAGGAGAAGACACAAAAGGACATTAATAGAAGTAGTGAAAAACAATATTGACTTTTGACCTTACTAATAGTATAACTATTGATAAATAAGAATTGGAGAACAAGATTCATGTAGTTGATCCCATATAATTAAGATAAACTTGGTTGATGATGTTTCATCAGTTCATTCCGTTGGATCGTTGATCAACCGGTCCAGACCAATTTTTCAAAGGGGCGATTCAGGTCTCTGAACCATGTTTCAAGCCTTGATAAAAGTTTTCTAGCCTCGATAAAAACTATTATAGTTAACTGAATTTTATATAGTAAAATCCTTAAATTTTACTAATCTTAGTAAACTTTTGCTTTTATTGTCTCGATAAATCTTTGAGTTCATAGATCAAAGATATTTTACATATTAAAACAATATATTTTACAAACTAAACTCTCGAATTACAATGTAATACTATCATCATTATTGTCAAAGCCTTTTTCCAACCAGTAAAGTCATAAGTCCTCATAACTTTTGCCATTCTACCCTATTAAGGGCTACACCCTCAGTAAAGTCATAAGTCCCCATGCATTTTGTCACTACATCAAATGATATCCTTTTGGGCATACCTCTTGCCCCGTTTGAGCCTTCCACTTGAATTAACTTGCAGCTCCTAACAGGTGTTGTATTGGTTCGGCGCCACATATGTCCAACCCACTTAAGTCTATTATCTCATCTTATCGATTATAGGTGCCACACCTTAAATTTCCCCAATGTATTCATTTCGAATGTATTTCTTCTTGTCTTGCCACCCATTCATCTCAACATCTTCATCCCTGCTACACTCATTCTATGGGTATAATGTTTTTTGACCCCGTAATATTCCTCCTCATAGAGCAGAGCTAGTCTCGCAGCTGTCCTATAGAACTTGCCTTCAGCTTCATTGGTTTGCGACGATCATATAAATTCCAGTTGTACATCTCCACTTCATCGTTCCAGCTCTAATTCTATGTACCACATCTTCCCCAATCTCTCAATTTCCTTGGATTATTGACCCAAGATATCTCAAGTACACTCGTTTTGGTATTTTATGGCCGTCAATGTTAACCACGCCGTGGACTTTACTCCTATTATTACTAAATATGCATTTTATATACTCTATCTTAGTTCGGTTAATTTTAAAGCTTTTAGATTCTAAAGCATCCCTCCAAAGTTCTAACTTTGTGTTGGCGCCATTATGGGTCTCATCGATCAAAACTGTGTCATCCACGAACAACATGCACCATGGCACCTCATCTTGTATACACCTAGTTAAGTCGTCCATAACTAAGTCCAAGAGGTATGGGCTTATTGTTGACACCTGATATAGACCAATTGTCATTGAAATCTAGACGTGGCAATGGGTCGGGTCCAGTTGGACCGGCCCCAGACCCAAACCCGAATAGTATTCTGGTCTAGGATTTGGACCCGTACCTGACCCGGCAGGTCCAAACGTTGGACCCATACCTGTACACCTTGGGTGTCGGGTCTATCTTGTCGAGTCCCGAGTCTGGTTCTGTCTATTACCACCCTCACTACGAGCTTCTTTCTTTTTTTTTTACCTCTTTTTTTACCATCATATACCAATATTATTGGCAACAAGGTCACAACCACTGCCATTAGATTTCAAGTTGTCTGATTTGTCGTTTAATAGCTAAAGATGACTATGAGTTCTTATTATATCTGATCCTTAATACACCAAAACAATTAAGACTTGAAGTATTTTATGTCTAACAGTTTATAGGTATGGGTTGGGTTCAACTGGATCCGAACCAGGACCAGAGTAGTGTTCGGGTCCAAATGTTGGGCCCATATCCGGACCCGTATCGGGAATACCCGGGTCCGGGTCCATTGCCACCCCTATTGAAAACTCACTCGTCTTTCAACTAGTTATTCGTATATTAGTTAACGCTATGTTGTACATATCTCTCATCAAGTTGATATAGTATTTGGAGACTCCTTTCTTTTCCAACGACTACCAAATCAAATCTTGAGGTACTTCATCCTAAACTTTCTCTAGATCAATAAAGACTATGTGGATGTCTTTTCCCTTCGCGCTAAACTTCTCAATCAGTTGCTTAAGTAGGAAAATAACATCAGTTGTTGACCTCCCTGGCATCAAACCAAATTGGTGTTATGATACACTCGTTTAATACCTTAGTCGTTATTCAATCACTCTCCCCAGGGCTTCATAGTGTGGCTCATAAGTTTGATCACTCGATAGTTTGCACAATTATGTATTTCTCATTTGTTCTTGTAAATACTACTACAATACTTTTCCTCCATTTATCTAATATTTTCTTTGTTCTCAAACCTTGTTGAACAATTTGGTCAGTTAGTCAATGCCAATCTCCCCCAGGCACTTCCAAACCACTATCAGAATACCATCTGGTTCTAAAACCTTTTCTATCTTCATCATATCTAAACCTCTATTAGGATACCGTCTGGTACTAAAGTCTTCCATATCTTCATTTTCAAAGCGTCTTTCACTTCCGATTTCCTAATCCTACGATTGTATCTATGACTTTCTCCCTCACTTATGCCAGTAGTTCCTTTTACCACTGTGTTCTTATAGTTTTAACATTTAATCATTTTTGAAAATAAACTCTCCACCTTTTGTTGACTTTTTCATCCTTTACCAAGACTCTTTGATCATCACTCTTAATATATTTAATATGGTATAGAGCCCTACATTTTTTGTCTCTCATTTTGCTAATTTGAAGATATCTTTGTCACATTTTCTTGTTCCTAGTTTAATGTGTAGATTATTTTATGCCTTAAATTTAGTTTTACTTACTAATTTTGATATTCTTCAAAGTTATGATTATGTTTATTTTATTGCCAAGTTTTTTAACATGATCGTTTTTTCGTTAATGGCCTTTTGAACCTCATCACTCCACCACCAGGTTTCCTTATCTAAATTTATTTTCCCTCAAGATTCTCTTAAAACTTCTTTTGCCACTTTCTTAATACAATCAACCATCTCATTTCACATAATATTGACCTCATATTTGGAGTTCTATTTTTCTTCTTCAACTAATTTATCCCTAAATATGTCTACTTTTTCATTTTTAAATTCCACTACCTTGTTCTTGAACGCCGATTAATTTCGTCCATTCTCTTTCATGTTTTTATATAGACGTCCATAACCACGAGCCTATCTTTGGTAGTGGAACTCTCTCTTGGGATAATCTTGCAGACTTTACATGATGTAGTTCACCTGGCTTTTTAAAGTTTTGTTTGCTATTACTAGGTCGTAGGCTAATAACAAAAACTTGAATAGCCTCACTCATCTCATTTCTTTCCCCAATCCCATATCCTTCATGTATCCCTTTATATTGTCTACTATCCTTCCCTACATGACCATTTAAGTCCCCTTTTAAAATGTCCTTTCTCTATTTGGTATGTTTTGAACCATTCCATCTATGCTCTCCTAAAATCTCTTAATTCTATCATTTAATCTTACTTATAGTGCATAATCACTAATTATATTAACTATCTATTTCTCTAATTCAAGTTTAATAAGAGGAGTCTATCACCTATTAACTTAACATTAACTATTTTATCTTTTAAATATTTGCCTACGTCATTTATATTATTATCTTTTTCTATATGCCAAAATTTATACCCATCTATTTCTTTAGCTTTTTCTCTTTTCTATTTAGTTTCCATACAAGGAAATATCTCTAATTTTTTATTAATTTTCTTTTAACATATAAAAACCATTAAATTTCACTCATTTTTATATAGTAAAATCTGGGTTTTACTATGTGAATCTCGACAAAATCTCTGGTGTTACCGTCTCCATAAGTCTTTGATTTCACCTACAAAATTGTAGATACTTTACATAGTAAACTCTCCGGATAAACTCTTTGAATTGTTTGTTCCTTTCCTTTTAATCTATAAAAACCATTAGGTTTTACTCATTTTTGCATGGTAAAATCCTTGAGTCGTAGTCTATAAATCTCAGTAAAATAGTCAACTTCACTAAGTAAAATAAGATATTCTATAGAGTAAAATATCTAATTACATGGTAAAATCTCTTCCTGATTTCTTCCTTTTTTTGAATATGTAGAAGTTGGTAGTTTTGCTCATTTTTACATAGTAAAAACTTTAGATTCTCTTATGTAAAATCTTTTAAAGTGCATAGTTGGTATAATAGATTGTGTATATAGTTGGTAAAATAGATTAAATGAGATCAAATTACTCTCACAATAGAATGCATGTATAGTTGGTAAAATATTTGATTGGGTAGTTTCCATGACTGATGGGATCACAAAATTACTATGCGAAATTGAGGGAACCATATAATTGCATTTATATACGGATATGGTTTTTAGGTAAGATATGAGGGGGGTACTGTGAAATTTTTAGGGACTTCCTTATGTCATTTGAAAGAAAAACGGAAAGAAAGTCTACCATGAAATAATTTGAAAAATTAGAGTTTTATACGAAATTTTCCCAAATAATAATGCTAGTAAGAAAACATGTAGACCATTAGTCGCCATTGTTTTTAGATAGAACACCTACATGCATCCATCTTTAAGATGCATGCTTTACCCATTTTAGACCGCATATGTAGAAATACACAAGACTCTTGTCTTTTGTTTGATGAATTATAAGAAGGCTGTGTTCTGAAGAGAGCATATCTTCTACATGGAGAGAGAGCCTTTGAAACTAGAGAGATCAGTTAAAGTTAGAGAGAGAGAGAGAGAGAGCAAGAGGGTTAGACCAAGAGATCTCTCCCATGACATAAGCGTGAAAACTTGGAGGACCTTTGGTGCAGCGAGCGTAGGCGAGTACCTACTGTGTGTGAGGAGTTTCATGGAGGGGCAACAATGGAGGTTGAAATAAACATTGCAAGAAACTACAAACTTACAGTGTGAAGGATGCAAAAAATCCTTTAGATCTACTGTTTTAGAGAAAGACTTAAGGTGAACTTTTGTTCTTAGCGCAGGTACTTATCATTTATTCTCTCTTCTTTCTTTTTCAGAGCTTGAGAGAGAAACCATGTTTTAGTATCGGCTAAGTTTAAAGTTTTTCTTACTCCTCTGGTCTCTAAAGAGAGAAAGCACCTTTGTTTTTTCTTCTTTGAATGGTTTTGCTCTGCTCTATGTTATACTTATCCGATTCCACTAGTTTCTAGAGAGAGAAATGAACCATACGTTTTTGTTTTGCTCAGTTTTGGGTTTTTTTGAGTTTTTTTTGTAGAGAGAGAAACCATAGCAGAAATGTTGGAAATGCAAGAATATCTTCAGTTCTCCGAGTATTGATAAGAAGTTTGTAGAAGGGCTTGTAGATGAGGGTTTATTTTGACTGTCTCAGAGAGGGAGAGATTATAGAGGGAAAATCAGGGGATAACAATTTACATGATGGAAAAGGGCTGAGAGAGAAAAGGGCATACACTTCTTGGTAGCGCATTCAGAAATGTTGGACGTTCCTTGGGGGTGAAGAGAGGGTTAGGGTTTGGGGGGAGAGAGAGAGGCTTAGGGTTTGGGGGCAGAGAGAGAGGGGGTGTGCATACCTTACAGTTGCCTTTACAATGACACTGTAAGTTCAAAAGCTTTGTTTTTTTATTGTTCTTTAAAGAGAGAGGGTTTTGGGTAAGAGAGCGTGAAAGGTTGTTGCTCGCAATGGGTGCTTTTTCCATGGATGTTTCATGAAGCGCCCTTTCTCTAGATGGATCTTCATCCTCCAAGCCTCTCTATTGCTCCCTCTTTTCTTTCTGAATCTCTTAAAGCCACTACTCTTTTTGTTATTGGTTCTTTTTCTCCGCCCTTTACTGATATCTAGGGTCGTAGATATTGGGCTAAGAGAGCTTGGAATCTACCCTACTTGTAGTCCGTTGTTTCGGGAGTAACATGATCATTTTCTCTTTCCTCTATTGATGATGTTCATAAAGTTCTCCTTATTCGCAACACCTAGTGTGTCCGGAATAAACTCTTATCGGTGGATTCTCGGAAACCACGGGATCACTCTAATCTCACTTTTTGCTCCCCTTGCTGGGTTCGCTTCGGAGGTATCCCTATGGGAGTCTTTCAATGTCTAGCCAATCTGGTGGGGGTTTTTGTTGACGTTGGTAGGGAATGTATGGTGGGTCATGATCTCTCTTTTATTAGAGTTAATATTCTTAGATATGCCAAGGGCCTGACTCCCTCATCGATCAACCGTTCTATTGGTTCAGACCTTTTTGTCATTGATGTCACCATTAAAGGTTTGAAGACTGCCAACCCTCCAGCTCTGGCCCCTCTTGAAATTTCTACTGGTAAGGAAGACTGCTCTTGGGTCGAGGTTCTTAGAAAGCCTAAAGTTAAACCCCCTATTTAACCTGTTGGAGCCATTCTTGGACATGTTAGGGTCGACCTCCATTGGTGAAACAGGGTCCTCCTCGGTTGAACCCCAGATTGGCAAGGCCACACGACAATAGATCTGAGATTGAATTGCTTGGATCTTCCTCTTCCTCATCCAAAAAAGTTAAAATTTGGAAGCCTACTGGCCGGTTTTTTGCAAAGGATTTTTTGTGCTTTCTTTCCTTGAAACCGTCAACTAATTTCAAAAATAAAGGAAAGAAGATTTTATTATGTGATTCTGTTTTGGACCCATCTTTCCCTGCCTTTTTGGGTGTCGCACCTAAGCCTCCTTGTTATGGGCTTGCCTCTTCATCCAAAGCCCATCTTTCGGGCTCTTTTCCCCTATTTCCAGCTCAATATCCTCCCTTTGTTCCATCTCCGCCTCTCCCTACCCATCCCACACCTCTCCCCAATTCTGCCTCTTCTGCCCTTCTTGCTCCTCCTATCTCGCCACTCCCCACCCATCCCGCTCCTTCTCCCAATACTTATGCCACTGTCCATCTTACCCTTTATCTCACATCTATTTCCACCACCTCTGTCTCTTCATCCTCTTCTCATCCTTTTTCTCTCCAAGTGACCCTCTAGAAGCCTTACCCCTTTCAAGGCCTTTCAATCTTGGGACGTGCTTCTCGTCATTTGCTCCCTTTTCTCTCTTGGTCATCTTCTTTCTGCTCTTCTTTTTCTCTTCACCATGTTCCATCAGAGGATTATTCCTTTTTGTTTTTCTGTGCAGCGTTCTAGGGTCTTGGATTGGACATCATCGCCTGTTGCCAATTGGCCGGTTGCGGTTGTTATCGTTGATTTTGATGAAGATGAGGTTGTCTACACCAATCTCATTTATGATGTGGCTTCTGGAGCCATAATTGTGGCGGATAACCCTGAGTTTGTTGCGGTCCCTCTAGCTTTCGTTGAACTGAACGTACCACCACCTTTGGTGGATACTATTGGTGAGCTTTTGGCTGATGATGCTATCCCAACGGAAATGGTTGTGGAACACCTTGTAGAAGGTTCAGATTCATCGTCCTTTATCTCTTCAGACTCGGCTCCTGAATTTAAGTCAAGTGCTAGGACTGATTCCAAGCTTAGCCACGTGACTGAGCATCATTCAAAGACTCTACCAAGCAACCCCAGGCATGTAATTTTCAACCGTATGTTCAAGGACATGGGCGTTACTTTTGTTGCTCCTCCAGAGGTGGTGCTTGCAGCATGGATGCAGCGGTTAAGATGGTTTAAGAAATGTCGAAAAATTTGAAGAATGAGACTCAGACAGACCTAGCCAAGCGCCCTATGCACCATTTTTTTGGTCTGCAGAATGACCTGGAGGTCTTCTCACCTGCTTTTAAGTTGCTTTTGAACCCTATTTAAAGGCGAACTCTAAAGCTGTACGCTCATCGGCTAGATTGGCTGCTCGTGGCTCTTGGGGCTCTTCAGCTCCTCCTTCAAATGGAGTGGTTTTCAGGACAAGCCATACGACTTCAAAGAACGGGTCCTCCTCTAGTTGCAGCGACAACACTTGCTCGTCTAGCTCTTTTCGTCCCTATGAAGATGGTGGCTTCGTGGGACCCGGTGAACTTTCATCCCGCCCATAAAGATTATCAGTTGGTACGTGCGTGGTCTCTGTGCTGATCGATGCAAGAAGGAGGTCAATTTCTTGATTTCTAATTTTAAACCTTTTGCTTTTAGGATGCAAAAAACTAAGTGTGCTTCGCCCTCTCTTTTGGATGTCAAGACTTTGTGGGGTAATGGTTCTGTGTGCTTTGAGGGTGTGAATGCCATTGGATTTTTTGGAGGTCTGTGGGTTCTTTGGGACCCAATAGCTTTGCTTTGCCTAGATGTTTTTAAATCTGGCAAGTTCTTGGCTATTGCTTTTGAAGGTCCTGTCAGGGGTTTCCGTTGGGTACTTATTAATGTGTATGGGCTTAATATTGCTACCCTTACATGTGTCTTTTAGGATGATCTGAAATCTGTTATTTCCTCTTCGGGACTTCCTGTTTGCATTGGAGGGGATTTTAAACTTATTCGACACCCAAATGAAATTTCCACTTTTTCTCGATTTAATTCTTATATGCATCTATTTAATGACTTCATTATGGAGAATGATTTATTAGATCTTCCTACTACTGAAGCTCACTTTACTTGGTGCAATAATTGTTCATCCAATCTGATTATGTCCAAGATTGATCGCTTTCTTGTCTCAGAGGCTTGGGAAAGAGTATTCCCTTTGGTCAAAGTTAATGCACTTACCAAACTTTCTTTTGATCACATCCCTATCTGTCTTCATACTGAGGAGGTCTTTTCTGGGCCTAGACCTTTTCGTTTTGATGTTCACTGGTTGGATGAGCTTGAAGTTGTGGACATCATCAATCATACTTGGGGTAGTAGTTATGTTTTGGGCAGTTTTGACTTCCGTCTTCATAATAAGCTAATCTGCCTAAAGCACAAACTCATCTCTTGGAAAAAGCAAACCAGTATCATCTTAAAGGCAAGATTGATTCCACTTTGATGGACTTAGAGATGATTGAAAATTCTATTCAGGAAAACCAAGTTTTATCTGATAAAATGATTGTTAATAAAAATTATGTGCTTAAGAAGCTACTTGATCTCTTTAGGATGGAGGAGATATATTGGAAACTGAGATCGAGAGTTAAATGGCTTAAGGAGGGTGACAAAAATACCAAAAGTTTTCATGCTATTGCGAATGCGCGTAGAAGGCAAATGATATTTCTACTATTTCTCTACCGGGTGTATCGGAAGGTAACATTTCAGCTCGTGATGAGGTTATTGTTCAACATTTTGAATCTGCTTTTTCTTGTGATTTTAACCTTGGTGTTATCTTAGAAGGTGTTCCTTTTAATTCTTTGCCATCTTTCTTGGTTTATAATCTAGAAAGGGATATTACTGTAGAAGAAGTTAGATTGGCAGTTTTTGCTTTTCTTAGGGATAAAGCCCCTGGCCCTAATGGTTTCCCTCTTATATTCTTTCAGCGTTTTTGGGATTTGTTACAGGATGATGTTTATTTAATGGTTAAGGAATTTATGTCCACTGAGAGTGTTCTCAAGGGCATTAACTCTATTTATACTTCTTTAATTCTAAGAAAAAGATATCATTGCTGATATTTGAGATATTACGCCTATTAGTCTCTTGTCTAGTCTTTATAAAACTATTGCAAAAGTTTTAGGAGAGAGACTTAAGTTGGTTCTTCCTTTTGTGATATCTGATGAACAATCAGCTTTCATTAGAGACCGCATGATCACAGATAGCATTCTTATTACCCAAGAATGCATTCACTCTATAAATCTTTCTGAACAACCGGGAGTGGTTATTAAATTGGATATGAAAAAGGCCTTTGACAGAGTTGAATGACAAGTGCTCGGTGAGATTAGAAGAAGAATGGGTTTCGGTGTCAGATGGATTTATTAGATTATGGGGTACATTTCCTCGACCCCTTGCTCGGTTCTTATTAACGGATCTTCTAAGGGGTTCTTCCATACTTCTTGGGGCATTAGACAAGGAGACCCTCTATCTCCTTTGCTTCTTACCTTAGTAGCAGAAGGCTTAGCCTGATGTTTAAGAATGTTTGTAAATGCATGTCTTCTTACAGGTTTTTAAGTTTCCTCATCCAACTATTTTACATTTGCAATATGCAGACGACATCCTGATTTTCTGTGAAGCCAATGAAGAGCAAATGCAGAATTTGAGCACATTCCTCCTGTGTTGCCAGCTAGCTTTAGGCCTCAAAGTAAATTTCCATAAGACTTCAATTGTGAGCATCTCTTGCTCTGACAGCCTTTTGGATTTTCTTGCTTCAATTTTGGGTTGCAGAGTTGAAAAGTTTCCCCTTAAATATTTAGGGGTTTCTATATCTGATCGTAAGCTCACTCGTGCAGCTTGAGGCCCTCTTATTCACAGGTATCAAGTTAAATTTGACTTTTGGAAGACTAAGACTTTATCTTTTGGTAGGCGTATCACATTGGTTAAATCCACTTATGCACATCTTCATATTTACTTGATGTCAATCCTACAAATACTTAGTGAAGTAATCAAGCTTATTGAAAAATATATGCGAAACTTCATTTTGGGTAATATAGAGGATAACCACAACAAGTTTCATTTGGTGAACTGGAACCAGGTTTGTATGCCGTCAAAGCTAGGGGGTTTGGGTATCAAAAAGCTTAAACTTATTAACTAGGTGATTTTTTCTAAATGGTGGTGGGGAATCTTTCAAAACTCTCTCATCTCTGGAAGGATGTGTTAATTGCTAAATATGGTTTTGATCATCTCACCCACTTGATTAAAAAAGGTAGATGAGGCAAATTCACCTCACAGATTTGGAAGGATATTTATAGCTACGGAAATATTGTTTTCAGCAACATTAGATGACTTATTGGCAATGGAGATAACACTTTCGTTTGGTTCAACAAATAGCTTGGTGATGCGTCTCTCTCTTCTACTTATCCTGACCTATTTGCCAGAGTTGTTCAACCTGATGCAAAACCTTCAGAGTTGATTTATCTTTCTCCCTCTAATTGTATGGTCTGGAACATCGGATGCGGTTACAATAGGCTACCGGACATAGTTATTTCGCAGCTTCATAATCTCGTCCAACAGCTTGAACAAGTTTACATATCTATTAATTCCAAAGACTTGGTCATATGGGAATCAGAAACTGACGGACGTTTTTCTGTCAAATCAGTGTATAGGCTCATTTTTATAGATCGGGTCTATATTGTTGATACCTCTTTAGGTTCTATTTGGAAATAGTCAGTTCCAGTTAAAACCCAAGCCTTTCTATGGGTAGCATGTCAAAGAAGAAGTTTAACAATAGACAATCTGCAAAAGAGATGTAAAATTCTTCCAAATATTTGATTGATGTGCAAAAATGATGAAGAATCTTGCTCTCAACTTTTCCTTCACTGTCATTTTCCTCTAGCTTATGGCTATGTGCCTTCTCTTTATTTTTTTCCTCATGATACCTTTGAATCTCATCAACATTATTAATCATCTTTCTGCCATTGGATTACCAAAAAATGAAATTGTGATTTGGAAAATTTTCAAAAGTGCAATCTTATGGCAGACTTGGTTAGAACGTAATAGGCGAACTTTTGATGTGATGTCTCAGAGTATTGAAAGGGTGAAAGATCTCATTTTACAATTTCTTTGGAATTGGTTTTCCTTAACGCATGAAAAACGCGGTGCTCTTCGGACTGATATTTATATGAATTTGAAATGTTTGGCTCATTCTTCTTCTCGCTCTAACCGTCCCCTTAGAACTTGGATTGCACCTCTAGAAGATTGCTTCAAACTTAATTTTGATGGTAGCTCATTTGGAAATCTAGGGCCTGCAGGTGTTGGTTCACAATAATTCTGATTCGGTTCTTTCATCTTATTCGGGTCCTTGTGGGTCTACAACAGCCAATCATGCTGAATTGGCTGCTTTCCTTTAAGGCCTTCATATTATCATCGGCATGAGTTTCATTGGTGATATTATAATTAACGGGGATTCCCTTAATGTTATCAAGTGGTGTAGAAAAGAGCAAAGGATCCCCTGGTCCCTTTTTACTCTTTGGTTAAAAATTCAAGACCTAGGTCCTTGGCCTAATTTTAGGATAAGCTTCGGCCAAACCATGCGCGAAGCCAATGAAGCTGCTGATGGGCTTGCTAAACATGGTGTTTCTCTTTCATTTTTGCAAGTTTCTAATGATTTGATCCAATCTCTATAATCTCATGCCCTTGAAGCATTGCTTTAATAAAAGTTCATAACATTAGTCAAAAAAAAAAGAAGAAGAAGCATATCTTCTACATATGACAAGATAACTCGCGCATTACGTGGCAATCAAGATTGTCGCACACTTTTCTCACACATTTAGCATGCAATGAATACATCCATATACTTTAAGGGGTGGTTTGGATATTTGGAAATACATTTTCAAAATTAGTTTTTAGAAATGGCACATTTTTGACATGGATCGAAATTTTGGGACTAGAAAGCATCTTCGGTCGTAATTATTTTCCTCATTTAAAGCCAAAAGTAAAAAAAAAACATGTATCATTATTTTTACCCTCCGAAATTGATTTCTAGCTATATTTCCTTATAAAGTACATTTAATTCCACAAAGATACCTCCACGAATTAGAGAGTAACTATATCAAATTTTATATTGTAAAGAGAGAGTATCTTGAAATTTTAGAGAGAAACTATTTATGATTTTAGAGCAGAAAACTATTAAAAATTTGTAGAGAAAAAAATTATCTCAAAGTTTTTAATGGAGAGAAACTATTTCAAATTTTAAGTTTTGGAGAGAGAAAATATCTCAAATTTTAAAGGGAGAAACTATAAAAAATTCAGAGAGAAATTATCTAAATTGTTTAGAGAGAGAAACTAACTTAAATTTTAGAAAGAGAAAAAACTATCTCAAATTTTTTAGAGGAAGAAAGTATCTCAAATTTTAAGGCCTATAATAAGAAAGTATCTGAAAATTTTTAGAGAGAGAAACTGTCTCAATTTTTAGAGAGAGAAACTACTTCAAATTTTAAGTCTTAGAGAGAGAAATTAGATCAATTTTTTAGAGAGATTCTATGTCAAAATATTTAAAGAGTGGAATTATCACAAATTTTAAGTTTTAGAGAGAGAAAGTATCTTAAAATTTTAGAGGGAAATTATTTCAAATTTTAAGTTTTAGAAAAAGCAAGTACCTCGAAATTTTTAGAGAAAGACTATATCAAAAATTTTAAAGAGAGAAACTATCTCAACTTTCAAGTTTTAGAGAGAGAAGGTACTAAAATTATTAGAGAGAGAACTTGTCTCTAAATTTTAGAGAGAGAAATTATATCAAATTTTAAGTTTTATAGAGTATCTTAAAATTTTTAGAGAGAGAAGATATCTCAAAATTTTTAAAAAGAGAAACTATCTCATATTTTAAGTTTTAGACAGAAAAGTTTCTTAAAATGTTAGAGAGATAAACTATATCAAATTTTAGAGAGAGAAAGTACTTAAAATTTTTGGAGAGAGAAACTATCTCAAAAATTTTAGAGAGAGAAAGTACTTAAAATTTTTTAAAG